GAAAGAGTGGCGCAGAAAGAAGGGCTAGGAGGCTGTGGATTTCATCCAGGCAGGAAATGTTGAGACCAAGCTGTGAGGGCAGAGAGAAAGGGAGAGTTTTGAGGGACAGCAGGGTCATAGAATAGACAGGTCTCTATCAGCAATTAAGTGTATAAGGTGGGGGGAGGATAAATTAGGAATTTGGGATTAACAGATACACACTACTATATGTAAAATAAACAACAAGGGCCTACTGTATAGCACAGGGAACTATATTCAATATCTTATAATAACCTATAATGGAATAGAATCTGAAAAAGAGTATATACATATATATACGTGAAACTGTATCACTTTGCTGCACACCTGAAACATTGTAAATCAACTACACTTCAATAAAAAATTTTCTTAAAAAAACCATGTAAGGTAAGAGAAAAGCCAGAGATTATTTCAAGATTGCTGGTTTGGCAATTAAGGAGTGGTGGTAGAGGTTCCCTTTATCAAGATAGGGAACCCAGGAGGAAGAACCTTAGGATGGGCATGAGAGGGAAAAGATGAGTCTGGTTTGGGGAAAGGTTGAGTTTGAGGTGCCTATGAAACACTTGGTGAAGATGTCAAGAATGCAGCAGGAAATACTGGACTTTTAACCAGTCATCTGTAATTGATTTCAGGGAATATGTAGAGGAAAGATGCTAGAAATGGAACCTCAGGAATCACCAGCATTTCAGGAGTAGTCAGAGGGAGAGGCAGCCCACATTAGGGGAGGAAGCAGGGGAAGTTTTGAACAGGAAGACATGGTTGACTGTATCAAATGCCACAGACAGGCCTAGTACCAAGCCAGCTAAAAAATCCCTGTGGATTTCATGGATTTAGCAACTGGGTATCATGGTTGCTCTAGTAGCATTCATCCTCTACTCGTTAACCTCCATTTCCTGTGTAAAGGGGATAATCCCTCTTAGCTCACTGGGTTATTTTTAAGAACTTAATTAAATAGCAGATGTGGCATTGCCCAGCACAGCACCTGGTACAAAGTAGGCACTCAATAAGTCTGATCAGAAGGCTTTCTCTTGGGAGGAGATGGCAAGGTAGGTACGATGTCAGGGAACCTTAAAAATAGCTCTGATGGGCAGCGTTCAGTTTCCAAGCATAGAGATCTTGTCGGTACTGAGAACGTATTGAGTGCTCAATAAATGGTAGCTGTTATTGCTACTCGTTGTTATTACTTTAAACACCCTTCAAGCAGTAAAGAAGCCTGAAGGTGGAAGGTGGGAAGATGGTTGTCTCTACAGCAAGGGTGGGGAACTTGTACCAGATAATAGACAGGTTTTTACCACTAGGTGATGTTTACTGTGGCTTAGATGCCAGTCCACTCAAGGTACTGATTCGAATGGCAAATCTGTGTCCCCAATGCCACTGTTGTCATCCAAGAACACTAGGATTTTAAAATCATGGGTGGAGGCTTTAAATCATGGGTAAGGCAAGCTGCCAAGATACTCACAAGGAAGGTGACCTGCCAGCACTTCACTCTGTTCATCTGGAAAATGACATCCTGGGTCTGGTTATCAGGCAGGGTTATGCAGCAGCTGATCTCATTATTGCCAACAGAAAGAACGGTCCCACAGCCGGGTTCTGGGTAGTCACAGGTACAGGGATCCAGCTGCACATATCCATAGTGCCACACCTCTTGGGATAGCTCCAAAAACTGCTCCAAAGGAGGGGTGGGGGATGGAGGAAGCAAAAGACTGCTTGAAGCAGATGAAAATCTCGTGTCAGAAGCTACTACCATTCTAATTCAACACATGGAATGGAGTCACAGTGAAAGCACCTTTTTCTTCTGGACGATACAAATGAAGACAATGCCCCTTGTGCTGACGATAAAGGCTGCCCACGTTCATGGTGTGTCCTGCCTCGTTGACCACTGTGTCCCTGCTCCTGTTACAGTGCTCAGACACAGTGGAAATAAAAATATTTGATGTGTGAATGAAGAAGGAAGAAAAGAGTAGAAGGAAATCGAATGAATAGGTAGTTCTCACTTTACCACATGGTTAAGTCAGAAGGACCACCCAGTGACAACCTGGCTCTCTCCCAATCCTTCCCTGAAGTAAGGTAACTTACACCTCCCGTTCAAGGACTACGTGAGCGCTCTCTGATAAAGGGAAACCTGCTGAGACACATGTGGTGAGGGACAGCTGACTCTTGCTACTAGGCGGCAGAGGATTCCAGGCTACTGTCCCTCCCGGCCACACGTTGGACCAGCTCATTGCGCTGCAGCCCATGCATTCAGCTTAGGAGATGCGTTAAGCTGCCGGGCCTCCCTTTGGGTCAGTGGGCAACAACAGAAATGACAGGTTGTAAGTAGATACTACCTACCTGTGTGGGTGGGGACCGGGGCTGAGCAATCTTGCCACAGAGCATTTAGAATAGTTCCATGGCTTTTACTACAAAAGTTGTTTTTTATTATATGGTATAAATCTTTAATTAATTTAAATTAAAATAAATTTAATTTAGTTTATTCTTTGGTAACACCTAAAAAATTTGTAATAAACTCTTGGCTGCAATGCTCTAAAAGAGATGAAAGTATTTGTTTAATTAAAAGTTAAGCTCCATTTCTCAAGGAAGTTGTTGATGAGTAAGTATTTTGCTCAAAATGCTGGCTGGTATTTGCCATTCAAAGGAGGTGCACTGATATTATTGACTGTGTGAAAACCAGAGGACAGAAATCTAAAAGGATTATCTATTTGAAAATTAGTTCTGTTTTTGTTTTTGGCTGTGGCACACAGCTTGCAGGATCTTAGTTCCCCAGCTAGGGGTTGAACATGGGCCCCGGCTGTGAAAGCATAGAGTCCCACCCACTGGACCGCCAGGGAATTCCTGAAAATTAGTTCTTTTAAGAAGTACCTTAAAGGGACTTTCCTGGCGGTCCAGTGGTTAAGACTCTGTGCTCCCAGTGCAGGGGGCATGGGTTTGATCCCTGGTCTTGGAACTAAGATCCTGCATCCTGCATGGAGTGGCCTAAAAAGAAGTACCTTAAAGGGACTTTCCTGGCGGTCCAGTGGTTAAGACTCTGTGCTCCCAGTGCAGGGGGCATGGGTTTGATCCCTGGTCTTGGAACTAAGATCCTGCATCCTGCATGGAGTGGCAAAAAAAAAAAAAAAAAAAAAAAAAATGCCTTAAAAAGATAATTTAACATGTGTAACTACCGAAGGTATGGTTATGTATTTTCATTTAGATCAGGGTTTGGCAAACTTTTTTTTTTTTAAATAAGTTTATTTATTTATTTATTTTTGGATGCGTGGGGTGTTCATTGCTGCGCACGGGCTTTCTCTAGTTGTGGCAAGCAGGGGCTGCTCTTCGTTGTGGTGCCGGCTTCTCATTGCGGTGGCTTCTCTTATTGTGGAGCACAAGGCTTTAGGCGCCCAGGCTTCAGTAGCTGTGGCACGTGGGCTCAGTAGTTGTGGCTCACGGGCTCTAGAGCTCAGGCTCAGTAGTTGTGGCCCAGGGTTTAGTTGCTCCACGGCATGCGGGATCTTCTCGGACCAGAGCTCGAACCCATGTCCCCAGCATTGGCAGGCAGATTCTTAACCACTGTGCCACCAGGGAAGCCCTGGTAAACTTTTCTGCAGAGCCACGTAGTAAATATTTTCAATTGTGGGGGCATATGATCTCTCTCGCAGCTACTAACCTCCTCCACTCGAGCACAGAGGCAGCCTTTGACGATACATGCATGAATGAGCATGGCTGTGTGCCTGTGGACTTCATTTACACAAACAGTGGCCCATGGGCCATAGTTAGCCTCTCTCTAGTTTAGATCAAATGACTGCTCCTTTAGATTAATTTCACTCATTTTCAATTCCAAGTTTTCTTGTACATGTGCATAAAATTAAGCAATAGTTGTTAATGTATTCACTCCATTAGCAGAACTTCACAAACAAATAATGCTGGTTTTATAGCAGTATTCTCAGATGCTTCAAGAGAAAATCATTTGTTAACTTGAATAATGGTTCAATATTTTTTCAAATGAAAAAAAACCCCACACATACCCTGTCCCAAAGCAGTATAGACGAGTCTGACAAACAAGACATATTTTAACAAAAGAAATGGCCTCTGCTTCATTGTGTTACTTTTTTTTATTCTTTATATTTGGCCAACCACTAAAGCATTGATTTTGAACAAAATGCAAAGAAAATTTAGAGGACTAAATTCATATACTCAAAGTGAGGTTTTTAAAAGACCACTATCAAAATATTATGATAAAACCAGGTAAAGCATTCAACATAGAAAATAAAATTTAGGGCTTCCCTGGTGACACCGTGGTTAAGAATCCTCCTGCCAATGCAGGGGACACGGGTTCGAGCTGTGGTCCGGGAAGATCCCACATGCCACGGAACAACTAAGCCCGTGTGCCGCAACTACTGAGCCTGCGCTCTAGAGCCCACGAGCCACAACTACTGAAGCCTGCAGCAGAGCCCGTGCTCCACAGCAAGAGAAGCCACAGTAATGAGAAGCCTGCACACCACAAGGAAGAGCAGGCCCCACTCACAGCAACTAGAAGAAAGCCCACGCACAGCAATGAAGACCCAATGCAGCCAAATAAATAAATAAATAAAACATTTTTAAAGAAAAGAAAATTTGTTTTGTGGCAAAAATACAAATACAAATTTTGGTAGAGCAAAGCAGCATGGTTAAAAACGGCATTCTTACTAAGTTAAGAAGTTTATAGAGCAGAAATGTCCTTAGAATTGGTAACTGTATCCAAAGTAGTAGCAATATGCTATCCATCAAAATAGAAGCTGTAATTATAAAAATTTACAAATACACAGAGAAACTGAACTTCAAAATTTCTCAGACAAAGCTGTGGTGGAATACTAAGGGGGAAAATACTAAATCATAGCAGTATATGCTTTTTCTCTTTTTTTGCAGCTCATCATTAAAATTCTCATGGTAGACTTTGAAGAATTACTTTCTATATCAACCTAAGTATAAATGAGTCCTGTGAATTTGTTGGCATTTTCTTCAAAATCAGTGCTTTGGTGGTGAACACTGGTTAAGTATAAAGGATAAAAAAAAAAAAGACAACACAATGAAACAAAGGCCATTTCTTCTGTTAAAATATGACTTGTCAGACTCGTATACACTGCTTGGGGGAATGTGAGTTGGCACCATATTTATGGAAGTTTTTAAAATGGACATTTAGAAATATATCCTAAAGAATAATAGAACATGTATTCAAAGACAGAGGATGTTGGCTGCTGTGTTCAGGGACTTCCAGCCAGGAACCATACCAGGTGTTGGGAACACACAGAGTATGTATAAATTAGACTCAGCCCTGGGCCTCATGGTGTTCGCTGCCAACGTGATTTATAGCAGCAAACCCTGGAAACAACCCGACTTCCGATAATAGGAAATTGGTTGGCTAAATGATAACATAACTATAAAATGGAATACTCTGTGTCATTAAAAATGATATTAAAGGTCTATATTAATTAACCTGGCGAAGGACTCACAATATATTGTCTGTATTTTTTAGAATCTTTAAACAATAAGCCTTTATTAATTTTATGAAAAGAAAAATCAATGAAGGTATTTTCATTTTTAAAAAGGCCCCATTTTTAGTGCTTCACGGGTTTATAAATTACAGAAACAGCTCAATTCCAGTCTGTTTCTTTAACTACCTTCCAAGAGATTTCTCTTGGTGCAATATTTCATTCACCTTAGTTTGGTTGTCTTCTTTCTGGAGAGCCTCTAATTTCTGCCTCTGTACCTCTGTGGGTTTGGCCCATTCTTTTTCAATGTCCTGTATTGCCTTAAAACAATATAAGTTGTAAAATTAGCAAAATTAACAGAAATGAATTAATCTGACAAAAACATACTCGTGTATAAAAGGCTATAAAAACAGACCCAAGGGTGGGATAGGGAGGGTGGGAGGGAGGGAGACAAAGAGGGAAGAGATATGGGAACATATGTATATGTATAACTGATTCACTCTGTTATAAAGCAGAAGCTAACACCATTGTAAAGCAATTATACCCCAATAAAGATGTTAAAAAAAAAAAAAACAGACCCAAGTGGACACATATAAGGATTTAGCATGTTATAAAGGTTACTTTTTAAATTAGTTGGATGTGGGAAGCAATTTCTCAATGGTTTGGGGACAAGTGGTAGCACTTAGGAAAGAAAATAAAATTAGCTCTTTCCCCACACCACCCAATCCAATAAACACAGATAGGTTAAAGATTTGAATGTAAAAACCATAAAAGAACCAGAAGAAAATAAAAGGTATTTTTATCTGATCTTGTGATAGGAAATACCTTTCTAAGATACAAAGATAAAATGTCATATAAATGAATGTATAATTACATAAAAATATAAAAACTTCTGTATATAAAACCACCAAGAACAAAACTAAGAAGCAAATGGCAAACCAAGGGAAATGACTACATCATATGTGGCAAAGAGGTGATCTTATTTACGTAAACCAACAGTAAAAATGTAAACATCCCTAATAGGAAAGTGGACAAAGGATATGTATCAGCAATTAATAAAAAGGAATTCCAAATGACAAATATAGATTGAACCTCACTAGTAGTCAAAGAATCTGTTTGCCTCTTAAATTGGCAAAGACAAAAAATATATATAATATTCAGAGTTGGCAAGGGTTTGGAGAAACAGGAAGTTTCATATAGATCTGATGCAATTTAAACTGGTAAAATTTTATGGAGGTGACTTGGCATATAAATCTAAAACCACCTATAGGCATGATAAACATAGACGTGGGGAAAATGTACTGATAAGGCTCTTACTACTATTGTTTGTAATACTGAAAATTTTCCAACTATTAATAGTGGCAAACACATGTATAGTGCTTACTATGTGTCAGGAAATGTTCTAATTGCTCTAAAACAAAAGTCAATCCCACCCCCTCCCCCTCTGGTAACTACTAATTTGTTCTCGGTATCTATGCATTTGTTTTTGTTTGGTTTGGTTTGTTCATTTATTTTATCATATTATTTATTGATTATTTAATTTATATTTCAGTGAAATAATATGGCATTTGTCTTTCTCCATCTGACTTATTTCACTCAGCAAAATATGAGTGAAATACAACATGTCCATCCATGTTGTCACAAACGGCAGGATTTCATCTTTTTTATGGCTGAGTAGTATTCCAGCCAAGGAATGCTCAGAGCCACCAGAAGATGGAAGAGGCAAGGAACAGAAACTTCTTTAGCATCCTGAGAGGGAGCATGGTCCTGCCAGCACCTTGATTTCAGACTTCTGGCCTATGGAACTGTGAGAGAATTAATTTCTATTATTTTAGCGCTCCTCCCCGCCCTCCCTGCGTAAAGAAAAAAGTCAACCCTTACAGCCACCCTATGAAATAGGTACTATTATGAAATGCCCAAAAATAGGTGATTGAGTTTAGGTACAACCAAATAATAGCTTATGCTATCATTTAAAACTATATAGAATATTTAACAACATGAGGAAAGTCTGTGATGCATTGATACATGAAAAAGTGTCAAGTTACAAAATACGGGCATAGTAGTAGATCCTGATTTTTTTTTTTTTTTTTTTTTTTTTTTCCGGTACGGAGGCCTCTCACTGTTGTGGCCTCTCCCATTGTGGAGCACAGGCTCCGGACGCGCAGGCTCAGTGGCTATGGCTCACAGGCCCAGCCGCTTCGCGGCATGTGGGATCTTCCCAGACCGGGGCACGAACCCGTGTCCCCTGCATCGGCAGGCGGACTCTCAACCACTGCGCCACCAAGGAAGCCCAGATCCTGATTTTTATAAGACAAAAAATATATATAAAACAAAAGCCAAAAGACCTTGCATCCACACTTAGGAGTCAAGAAAATGGATGTACATATGAGCGAAATGTAGTATATGAAATAAACACATCAAAAAAGTTGAGTTTATATGTATGATCGATTTAAGATTTGGGATGATGTTTACTTTTGTTTTTGAGCTCTTCCATATTTGCATATTTTTATAAGATGAAAACAATCTTACAATTGAGAAACAGTTAAAAGTGAATATACTGTTAGGCCCTTTTTGCTCAGCTTTGGGTAACTGCCACCAGCTAGTTTTCCCAAACTCCAACTCCCTGATGGGCTGCTCAGTTCTGTTTCCTAATCTGCACTGACGATTTAAGCAGAACAACACTGGTCTTAAAGAGAGAAATCACCTGAATACAACTTAAGCCCTCAGCAATTTCTTCTGTGCTCTTCCCTTCTTTTCCTGGCATCCAGCCTCCCTTACCCCTTTATCCCGCCTGGCCCCAGGGCAGGCTCTGAGATCAGCTTTCCATCTCATCAGCTGCATACACTTAGCCTGTGCTATGCTGCCATCAGGCTTTAAAAGAGTTTTCCAGTGGTCCTCAGACTGTTAACATCTCAAGGAAAGAGCCTGAGTCCTTTACCTCAGTGTATCTTGTCCAGTGTCTTACATACAGCAAAACTGCAAACAATCCTTTGCCAATTATCAGCACTTATTTATATCTTAGTGTGAATGTAAGTCTATGCGTTATGTCCCTCGTGTCACTGAAGGACAGGTTATGCCTTATCTCCAAGAGGAGAAAGAAAAGCTGAATAAGTTTTTGACGTTGCTCTTTAGGTTGGAGGGAAGGAGATGGATTTAGAGAGAAGAACTACTATTTGTTGAGAACCTGTTTTACATAAGTTTTCTCATTGACTTTTTCCAAACTGTTCTGTGGGTTAGGAACATTTACCCCCATTTTACAAATGGGTAAAATCAAGGTCCAGAGAGGTTATGACTTTCAAGACAACCCAGTAAGTAAGTGGCAAGGGTTGGATTAAAACCCAGACCTGACCACTCCACCAATCCCTCCTCCTATTGCCCAAAACACTGAATTCTGACCGTGTAGGCAGCTGTACACCCCAAGGCTTTCTCCTCGTTGCCAATTATTCTCAAAACTGAACCTAGATACCACACCAGAATGGAATCAGCATGGGTGTGAGGAAGAAAACACCTTTTTCTTTCCAGAATTCTACTTGATCTTAGAGCCCTGTAAGGACTGTTAGAACAGGGCAACGATGTCAAGGAGAAACACGGCTAAAAATACAAGGCAAACAGCAATCATGGCGGTTAGTATGTAAGTACTAACCGAAGATACATCATTCATCATTAGAAGATCTGGGAGTCTCAAACACAGAGATTTACATGTCCTACAGGAGAGGTAACATAACTGTTTTTGTTTTATACCTTTGAAAACCTTTGCCCCTGATTATGACTTCAGAAGTCATCACTCAAATGTATTATATACAGTACCTCACTCCAGGCAATGAGAGTCAAGTTTAGATAAATGTCTCTATTCAGTTATATGGTTCCCCGAAGACTGACTGATGGAGACTCACGCGGAACCTAATTTTTAAAATTGCATGAAATCACGTAAGTCAAGGTTTTCATGAGCTTCAATCACACATACGCTAGTGCCCCCTGCAGAGGCTTTTGTAGTGAGAAATGGAGAGTGCAGGCCTTTTTAAACAAGGCATCAGCCACTTGGCTCCGGGTGTTTGAGGATGAGTAGAGCAAGGCCAGGGATGTGGGAGCAGATTGGGCCCATACAAGGGCACTGAGCCATGGGGGTATTGGGAGGCTAGTGGTCAGCCCACACTCCCCGTATCGTACCATGGGCCCTGAATGCCCTGAATGCAGGGCTGGGCCTGCCTGGGGGAAGGGGCACCTTTTTCTAATTTGCACAAATTGTAAATGGGCCAGTGGTGGCCCTGCTGAATGTAGGCCCAGAATTGACTGAGCCTTCAGTATTTTTTAGAAAATCCAGAAACTTATACTTTTATACGCAATCTTCCATTTTGTTTAATGTCACTCAAATTTTTAAAAAGAGGGGCTTCCCTGGTGGCGCAGTGGTTGAGAACCTGCCTGCCAATGCAGGGGACAAGGGTTTGAGCCCTGGTCTGGGAGGATCCCACATGCCGCGGAGCAACTGGGCCCGTGAGCCACAACTACTGAGCCTGCGCGTCGGGAGCCTGTGCTCCGCAACAAGAGAGGCCGCGATAGTGAGAGGCCTGCGCACCGTGATGAAGAGTGGCCCCTGCTCGCCGCAACTAGAGAAAGCCCTCGCACAGAAACGAAGACCCAACACAGCCAAAAATTAATTAATTAATTAATTAAAAAAATTTTTTTTAAAGGAGGAAGGAAACATCTTGCGGGAGCCCCCTCGGCTTGTGGGACATCACTGGACACGCTTGCTTTAAAAAAAATTGAGAGTATTCCTTAATGGTTAATTATGATGGCACTGTTATTCATCAGAACTCCTCAGAACTTTTTCCATTAACTTTTTATTTTTTTAATTAATTCATTCATTTTTTTTGCGGTACGCGGGCTTCTCACTGCTGTGGCCTCTTCCGCTGCGGAGCACAGGCTCCGAACGCGCAGGCCCAGCAGCCATGGCTCACGGGCCCAGCCACTCCGCGGCACGTGGGATCCTCCTGGACTGGGGCACGAACCCACGTCCCCTGCATTGGCAGGCGGACTCTCAACCACTGCGCCACCAGGGAAGCCCCCCATTAACTTTTTAAAAGGATGATTGCTTCTCACTCACATATCCTAAGCAGCCAGGATACAGTCTGTGCCCTTGGCCATTCAGAGTCTAGCTAGGGAGATAACTGTGTGAACCAGTATTCACAATACCAGGTGCGGGCACCATAATGGAGGGCAGAACAAAATACCATGGGGGCGGGGAGGGAGAAGTCAAGTAAGGCTTCCCAAAGGAGGCAGCACTGTGGTTCCCTCCCTCCTGCTGGCCTGGGGCCGCCTTTCCATTTCTCAGTGGCTCCGCTCGAATTCAAGGAATGATAATGGCACAGGTTATTATGACATCAACTACAGTTTTTTGAAGATTTTGCCAGGCAAAGAGCTAAGGTTTGAATGTCAGTCTGTTAAAGCTGGAAGAAAAGTTACTTAGAGACTACTATTAGTTCAGTCTCGTCGCTTCGCAGGGAGAAATTGTAGTTCCAGTTTCGGAAGGATGAAGTGACTGTCCCAAGGTCACCCAGAGAGAGAGAGCCAGTGACAGAGCAAGGGATAGAATGCATTTTTGAAACTACAATTCAGTGTGCTTTCCATGAAACCATCTTTCCCCCAGCTATAAGAGGAGGAGACACCATCGATAGCTCTCTGGTTTACAACTCCTTAATAAAGACAGGTAAATATCGTATTATGATGCTAGCAGTTCCTAACTCTCACTACTCTGTATCCCTGGAAACCATGCCACAGAAACAATATTGGAATTAGGTGATGCATTCTCAATGAAGGATGTGCTGGCAAATAAACCAGACACTAATAATGTATCATAACAGCAAGAATACAGTGGCGCAGAGCCTCAGTAAACATTTAAAATGGTAAATTATGTTCCAGCTCATGTAACAGGGGTGTAAGTACACTGAACATGGCTATACATGGATCAAAGTGGGATATGAAACGAGCTCAAAACTATATGCTAGCCATAAAAAATACCATAGTGAACATTAACTATTTAATAAGTGATATTTTGATTTGCCTTCTTAGAATTTAGAAGAGTTTCGTGGAAATCATTTACTAGATGGTCTTGGTCTCTTAAAAAATCACCTAAGGAGAAATGTGTATTAAGGTTGTGAGTCCTGTGACATTCTGGCTGCTGGGGTCTGCTGTGTCTGTTCAGTCATACACCCAGGTTCTCTGCCCTGTGCTGAAAAAGCCAGGGTCCCTGTGTGGAGTTGGTGGTCTAGTGGGGGAGATATATACACGAATGATGCTCTACTTTGTCAAACTGACGATTCCGTTGATTTTACAATACGATGGTCTTGTGTGACACTAAGAAAAAACACTGCCAATTGAATTATAACACAGTGCCATGTGGCAGTCCTGTGCAGTGCATGAACTGCTGCTCATGCCAGTCTCTCCCGGCTGGTAATTGCTTTCATTTCTTCTGAGGCATGTGGCAAATTCTCTCACCTTCAGCAGCACTGCTCAGCCTGTGCTAGGCAGTCCTTTTGCTTAATCTTAGTATAAAATGGATCGGTTTCCTCTCTCTGGGAACATAAAGCACCTGGTTGTTGCTTTGCGAGAAAATGTGAAACATGGAACTGCGGTCATTTCTTCAAAGATGAACATTTGCTTTTCCAGTATAAAAGGGAAGCCTGCCACCCACTCTTTGCCTCTCTGTGTAAGCAATAACTCCCATTCCATGCGGAATCATACTCTATGAAGTAAGTTTAAATGACAATTGGACTCAACACATATGTCAACAACACACCTAATCCAACTAAAGGGAAAACAGTATGAACAGCTATGTATCAGTTAGCTATTGCTGCATAACAAACGACTCCAAAATGAAGACTTGCTTAAAATAATCCAATTAAAGCAATGTAATTGCTTAAAACAAAACCAGAAGTCACCCAAGGAAGTATGTGCTTTTCCTCTTCTATGCTCTTTTGTAAACCAAAGCATCAAAATCCACCCTTTCACTTTTTTTGCCACAACCAAAGTACTGCAGGAGGTTCTATCAATGTTTCCTTGTCCCCTTGCAAAGCTCATTAAAAGTAATGTCTGACCCGACACTTCTCCCCTCTCTTCAATTTTACCTCCTTAGTTTATGAAAAGCCACAGAGTACAGCAGCTTAGAACCGCACTACATAAAAGCCACCTGCAAATGTGTTAAATCCCTTTTCTAAATCCTCCACGTCTAAGCCTACTCAATCCTTTGTCAGCAAACGTTATTTTTTCTTTTTCTTAAAAATGCAGGTGGTACCAACTGCCTGACAGAATTATTATGAAGCTTAAATGAAACAATGCATTTAAAACAGTTAGTACTATGAGGGGCCCGCCAGGAGGCTTAATGCTAAGGTCATGCTGGGAATAGTTCTAGTTTCCAGAGATACAGCAGTGAACAAAACAAATTCCCAATTTCATGGAGAAATCATTCTAGTAGGGACAGAGACAGTAAACAAAAATGTTATATATAGTGAAATGGTGGAAATGCTAAGGAGATGATAAAGCAAGTATGTCAGGATGTGGGGTTTAGTCTGAGGGGATAGAAAACCGTGGGAGGGTTTGAACAGGCCAGGAATTCGACCCACCATTCTGCTGCTTGAGAACAAACTGAGGGATAACCTCATGGAACACCTTAAAAGAAGTTTCCAGACCTCCCTCCCACAACTGGCAAGCCAGGCCTGGGAAAGGATCAGGCCTCCGAAGATGCTGCCTCATGAGGGTGAACAGTGGCGGGGAGCTGGGGAAGCAGGCAGGAGCTGAGATGGGGGTAACCAGTGGTGCATCACAGAGGCAGCCTCTGCTGACCACGGCTGAGCAGAGCCTTCCCCACATTAAGTCGGGCAAGGAAAGGAGGCCAAACTCTAAATTTACTTTTCTGGAGACTGAGGGGCAGGGGTAAGGCAGGACCGACTACATAATTTGCAGGGCCTAGTACGAAATGAAAATGCAGGGTCCCTTGTTAAAAAATTAAGAATTTCAAGATGTGACAGCAGAGCATTCAACAAGCCTGGGACCGTCTGAGCACAGAGGGCAGGGGCAGTGCAGCCCCACAGGCCACTTGCCCATGAGGCTGGCCCCGGGGGCGGGTACGCTACTTGTTGGTTTAGGGAAAAAGAAGATTATGCTAAAGTGAGATTTAGGGGCCATGCGTGACTTTAAATTAGCAGGGATATCCTTTCCGGGCTCATGTAAATTAGCCTAGGTGATAGAGTAACAGCTGCCAATTCGGAGAGATTGTTAGAATGGGGTAGAATTCTTCTCCCTCTAAACTCTACTTCTTTAAAAATATTTATCTATTTATATTCTATTTATTTAGTTACTGTGGTTAAAATATACATAACATTTATCATTCTAACCATCTATAGGTATACAATTCAGTGGCACTAAAAACACTGACAATGCTGTGTAACCATCACCACTCTCTATACCTAAACCTTTTTCATCATCCCTAGCAAAAATTCTATACCCGTTAAACAATAAAGCCTCCCCTTCTCCCAGCCCCGTGTAAGCTCTATTCTACTTTCTGTTTATATGAATTTGCCTCTTCTAGGTATGGAGGTAGAATTCTGAACTGCAACACGTGTTCTGTAATGGTTTCAAACTCAAAAGGCCTATAGTATCTGGTGTTCTGATAGCTCTTGGTTCGCCTCACCTGCATGTAGATCAAATCTACAGCTGCTCTGCAGTCCATCAGCCTGGAGTCAAGGGATGGGTCCAGGTACCTGCATGATTCAGGAGCGTTCAGTTAATTCATGACACGGCTAATGGGCACACCTGGGAGTACATGCTCTCTGAAGTGGTGGTCCTCGACGCCTTGAACCAAGGCCCCCTCTTCTAGCAGAGCCACAACCCTCTGCTTGCCTAGTCTTCAACTGTCCTTCCATCTCTTCTGTTTCCTATTGTCCTTATATTGTAAGCTTACCTGGTGGGCTCTGAGAATAGAAATGCAAAAAAAAAAAAAGCTTGAAGGGAATGGTGCACATCACTGTTCACACCCAGCTCCCCTCTTGGCCACCAAGTCTTCACGCCCTCTCCCCACCCGCAATTCCTGGCATAACGATCTGCCCTGTACCCACATCTATATCACTGCCCGGTACCCAGGCCACGTCATCTCAGGCAGTGACCTCCTCACCAGACTTTCTGCCTTGGTTGTGTTCCCTCAGTCCCACACTCCACATTCTAACTGGAGTGGTCTTTCCCAAGTAACTTTTCAGACTCTCATAGTCCCAGGAGTTAGAGCATTTATCCTGGTTGCTCCCAAGACCCCAATGTCATTTCCAGTTCCATCTCTGGCCTCTCTCCCCTCCCCCACACTCTACATTCCAACTCTGTTTTCTCTTCTCTCCCTCCACCCCGAAGACCACCCGCCTCAGCAGCCTCCTGCCCGGCCTTACCCGCCTCTCCCACAAGCTTCATCCTCAGGTGCCCTCCTCTGGTCCCTACTCCTCAAGTCTGTGTTAGCAACCCCACCCCCACATCCGTGCTTCCTCAGCACGCTGAGTTTATCCTGATTGCTGCTCTGATCAAGCTGATCTTGACACCAGGTGTGAAGACCCCTTAGATCAGTGCTGGGTCCTATTCAGACTTGCCCCTCTGGACCTTGGCAAAGGGACTTGCAAATAGCAGGGCCTCATGTCAGTCTAACAGCTCTAGAGTCGTCAGGATGAAGTGAAGTTCCAAGTACTGTGTGAGCCCAGTGGCATGCTAAGAACCGACAGAAACCACCAAGAGAGGGTGTGCCGGGGCTGGTCCATCGCCAGTCTGAAGGCACAGGTGAGCAGAATCAGGGCACTCAGCAATGGAGGGGGCGGAGACAGTGGGATTCGCACAGACCAGGAAAAGGATGAAAATGTCGCTTGAAGATCAGCTTCATTCTAGGGGCTGGGGAGGAGAGGCTGAAGTATTCCCCCCTGTGTTCCACTTAGTTATTTCACCCCTTCTCCCCAGGTGCCCTGTGTGGCAGAGAATAGCAAGTGTTGCACCGGAGTTGGAGAACTCCCAGACCCACCCCAGACTGGGGCCCTGCGAGGCCAGGGCAGGTACCCTCTGGTCTGGAAGGAACTATAGCATCTTTGGAGAGATGCACCAGGGAATTCACAGACAGAGAAAAATCCCTGAAACTTGACTAGGTCTCACTGCTGGGCCTCTCCAGCTGGGAATCCCACAGCTAGTGTTAGTCAAGCGAGCCTCCCTGCTCCAACCCAATAAGACCTCACTCTGGACAGAGGGCCAGGCACCTGCGGGATCCTTTCTCCAGGCTCTCCCCTTCCAGTGACCTCATCCTCAGCTCTAACAGCTGAAGTGGGACCTCCTTTCCTCCCAGTTCCCAGGAGCAAAGGCAATCTGCCCGGATCTGAGATACAGGCTGGTGATGGGGTAGACATTTTGTCTTGCACTTATGATTGAGACGTTATCTATCTAATGAAGACATAGGCAAAGCCCAATTTCCAATTCAAGCCTCGAGGTGAGGGACAGAATCCTCATCTCTTCTTTGATCTCAAGTTCTCTGGAGAGCCCATGGACAAAACAGTCTAAGCCCCAGGGATTTGGGTGGTGGTGGTGGTTACTATTATCATCATTATTATCATCAATATAACAATAATAAAGATGACCAAAATTTATTGAGCATATAGGATTACTTCATTTAACTCTCACTATAATCCTATGAGATAGACCCTATTATTATTATTTCCCATTTTATAGATAAAGAAACTGAGGCTTAGAGAGCTTGAAAAACTTGACTAAAGTTCAGCTAAACCCTGCAGTTCACATGCTCAGATCCCAGGAACAACTATGCTTAGCCACCTGTTATTATGGGCAGCTTCCAGAAGAATAACTACTCTCTAAACTCTCAGAGAGAACTGCATCCTTTTCCCCTTCTCAGGGCTCCATGCCACCGGTTTTGACCGTTTCTCAGAATACTTTTGAATAGCAGTATATGAACTTCTAGCCTTGGTGGGAATCCTCCAGAATTCAAAGCCACAGCCTGGAGCTCTAGCAAGGCATCACAAGGTCAAGATATCTACTATTCCTCGATGTCAAAATGCCTTTCTTTAAAAACCTCTGTGTTCAGATTACAGATTAACTGGGCTGGGCAAGAGTGAGCCAAAGAAGCAATCCAATACAGCCACAGTAATAAACATTGGGAATTACAGGTTCATTCCCCCATTCCCCCATTGTTATTTTGTTTGTTCTTCAGAGGACCCCTTGTTTCTGCGAGAAATAAAAGTATTTTCTGCAAAAATACTGCAGATTTTTTTCCTAGATTGTGTCCTATCAACCTAGGAAAATATGTCTGGCTCTAGTAAATAAGCATGTATTGTTGGAATCCTTTAGGAATATAAACCAAATACGTAGAGTTCAAATTCACTGTGGGGGAATTCCCTGGGGGTCCAGTGTTTAGACTCTGCATTTTCACCGCGGGGGGCGGGGGTGTAGGTTCAATTCTTGGTCGGGGAACTAGGATCCTGCAAGCTGTGCGGCATATGGCAAAAAATAAAAATAAAAAATAAAAGAAATAATTCACTGCGAATCGGCTGAGTTCACTCTTTGCCTTCAGGGAATACCACAGTTCAACAGATAAAGCAGACTTGCTTGTAATCATCAACAAAGTCCTTCAATTAAATACAGTCAGTCATCTATTCCAAAGCAAACACACGACCTATAATTCCTCACCATTACCTGCTTCAATCCCCAATCCACCTACCCACAGCCTTACCTTCATGGCTACCACCCTCATGATAATATCCCTCAAGCTTTTAACTTGAGACCAGTGAAAGTCATCCTCAACGTCCTACTCTTTAGGACAAATGTTCTGGTTCATTCGCTCCCTTCTCTTCTTCATTGCTTTCCTGGACCTTCCCCAAGCTCCTGAGCTCCCTGGAGCTGTCAGGCTGTGAGCTGGATGTGGGAGATTCTGACAAGCTCTGATCTGTGAGCTGGATGTGGGAGATTCTGACAAGCTCTGATCTGCAAAGCTAAGATATCCTGAGATACCTTCTGTCACAGTAAATGCTTACTCACCACTTCCTGAGTGCGACCTTGAAGTTTTCCACTTCAGAAGTGCGAAGGCTAACATAAGGGAGCTCAAAGTCCACCAATTTTTTAATGACTAGAGAAAGGGAAGAGAGTCTTATTGGTTGAAACAGCACAGATAGTTTTCATACAGTGCAGTGCTTTAAAATGATAAAATAGAGCATTACTATTGGAAGAATAATTAACACTGTCTTGCATTTATATGTAATTTTTAACTTTCTGAAGTTCATTTTAAAAATAAGTAGCATTTGATCCTCATAAAAGACCAATGGCTTGAGTAGGGGACATTTTCACTGTGATACAGATGAAGAAACTGGGATCCAGAGAGGTCCAGTGCCTTCACCAGCACAGCACAGCTCCTGGTGGCTGAGCTAACTTCCACCTCCAAATCACCTCCCCACAGCTTCTGAGGACATATGTAAACTACTCGAAGACAACTGATGCCATCTCACAACAAAAAAAGTTGTAATATCTAGAAATGCACTGTAGAGAAAAGCAAAAGCTATATGAAACAATGTCATTGGTCACCATCTCACTGCATGTATATATTTTTAAAGAACCTAAGAACTTATTTATATCATCCACATTTCATAGCAAATATTCCTTAACAAGGAGATATTCCTTAACAAGGTCTGATGGGATCTGCTGATGCCCGGAGTCCAGCACTCCATCCACAAGGGGGTTGTGGCGTGGCTGGAGAGCAGCCCCCAGCGTGCAGGGATAAAGGTGCACCGGACAGCAGCGCTAGGGCTCAGGAGGCACAAGAGGAAGTGTGGTTACTGGAGAGAACTGATGTCTTGTTCCTGACCACGCTGCCCCTCTGGAGCTGCTCAGCCCCAGCTCACCTTGAACAAAAGGCACAGCCCCCATCCCCAAATGTCCGGTTCGGGGGCCGAAAGTCGTAGTAGAGACCACACACTGCGGCGTTCCCCTGGGGGGTGACTGGTCCCTCAGCTGCAACCCCTCACCTCCTGGCTGAGTGCCTGCCCACACCTGCCCACCCCATCTCAGGCTGCCTGCATTTCCTTCTCTCCTTACCAGACAGCTTGCCCTCTTTGTAAGACCGAGTGAGAAATAGTCCAAAGTATCCCAGCAGCTCCTGACACAGTCCAATTTTGTGTGATACCACCTTTAACCAAAGATGAGAAAAAGGAGGGAAAAGTTAGGAGTGTCCGCCTGTAAATAGCAATAAGAAGAGCTTTAAGGGGCCAGTGGATATTAAGAGAAATCTTTCCCAAATCTAAAAAAGGTATATACCCATTTTAGAAAATTTAGAAATTTTAAAAAATTACAGTGAAAAAAATAATAATCAGTCCATCCAACAATGGACATGAAATGGCCCCAGCTGAGACTGGTTTGTCCCATCTGGGATAAGGACTCGTCTCCCAGATTGGTTTGGCCTCTATTGTCCACTGGAGGGCAGTAGCCATTCTCCAGGATCATCAGCCCTTCTGTAATACCTGCCCCTGGGGCCCACACTCCAATTTACCTTCCTTGGGGGCTGGATTACCAGATATTGGGGAAAGGGATGTTCCCCACCATTGGCTGGCATATAAAAGTGTACAGGCTAATGTCTGCCTATGACACTCCAGGCCTGCTTCTCTCTGATGTCTGCTGTGATGCTCAAGTCTAATTTGTGTGGCTTTTGCTCAGTGAAACCTCAGATCCCGGGCACAGGCTGCCCTCATTTCATATTCCTCTTTGACCTTTACCTCAAACAGCTTTCATTTCAACACCAGTGTTTTCGTTTTTACCAACTGGTCATGAGGCTGTAACCTCGAAACATTTCACATCCATTCACCCTCCCTTAGTAGGAACATTCATGTTCCACAGGTTCTTTCCCTCTCCGCTCGGCCAGCCCACCCCCTCTTTAAGGCTGGGTTCCTTGATGATTTCTTTGCATATCTAGTCTGAATTCGCTAGATCACCTCTGCCACCCTCTGTGTGGGGGTCCACCTGGCTCTGTGCGTGAGCTGACCCTTTGACCATGGCTCCAAGTTCTCAAGGTGGCAGTTGTACCAGGCTGAAAGGGGTACGTACTCTCTTGTCCGAGGCCTGTAAATTACCTTGGGAGACAGTCTGATTAGGTGGATGGTATGAGTAGGTGTTCTCAGCATAGCTCTGAAAATAAAGAAGAGCCTGAGAACTTTTCACAACTTTTACTCAATGTTTATCCCCGCTCTCTTTTCTACCTTACTCTCTTCCCCATGCCCTTGCAAAACAAAAACAAAAACAAAACAAAGCAAAGCCCTGAACCAGAACACAGGGCACCTCTGTGTGTGGGGCTGAGTGTGCACCACTGGTAACAGATTGCAAAGTCATCTCCCCCTAGAGTAAATATGAACCCATGCCCACTCAAATTAGATTTCTCTCTTCTCTGACTCATTCAGTGAAAACAGCAAGCTTACAAGCCAAGGAAGAGAGAGGAGTGGGAACGGAGACACTTTCTATCATTTATAAAGACATAAATACAGACTCCTTTTGAGGAGGAGAAAGCAGCACAAAGAGACACAATAGTATTTCCTTCTTAGCAAATGTTAATGATGCTTCAGAACACAAACACCACCAATACAACTACATTAGCACAAATGCATAGAAAGCAAAAAAGAGATTTTAGTTTGTTGCTGGTCCTTAAAGAGCCCATCAGGATGGCTGGAGAAGCAAAGTGAGCGTGCTGACAAGTATGCTTGAGAAGATACAGCCAATAATTTTTAATTACAAAATGTACGTTACATTTTTATGTCAGCTAGAGAATTTCCCAGCCCCTGGAAGAGAATTCACATCTGTGCCTGGCCAAGTGCTCACTTTACCTTATACAGAAACTCCTTTAATTCATTTTACCTCCAGTGCTAATGACGTCCCTGCTATGGATCTGAATTTCTCACGAGCCAATGTGATGGAAGCGGGGAAATACATTTTTCTGAGGTTAATGAACCTCGTTCAACTCCTGCTATCAGTTACCAGGGGAACTGGACAAAACAAGCGGCACTACTGTGGAACCCTAGCCTTACTGCCCTACTCAATACTTATGCAGCACTCCCTCTAACATCATACTAATAATGATAAAGAACCATACTCACCACTGCTGATGGATTGTGAGCTATTGCTATAATTACCTAGACATCATTTCAAAAAATTAAATAACTTGCCCAAACTCACATGTAGCAGCTCTGAAATTTGAATCTGGGACTTGTCCTAACCCCAGCAGATAGGAGACCCCATACTCCCACCAGCAGCCAACTTCAGCTACAGTCATGTCTAGTTTGGCCAGCAAGCCCAGTGTGTGTAAAACATGTCAATAATGGTGTCCTTGGGCAGGACAGCTGCTCTCCGGTTCTCTGTAGGCCTAACCATTTCCAAATGAGCTTATATCCTACAGCTGCACCTCTGACTTACCTGCCTGGCCACGGAGTACCTGAGTTTGTGGTCCCCACCCTCACTATTACTGTCTCCTCTTTCTATTATGTGTCTATCTCCCACTTCGTAAGTCCTGGGAGGGCAATTTAGGGAACTGTGTTTTGTGTTTTGGGGTCTCTTGGTATAAATCCACTCAGGTGTTAAGCATCAAGGGCTCTTGATAATTTCTAGAAAGATCATTCTAGAAATCAGTACAGATTAGCAAGACTGGAAGCAGGGAGATTAGTTTGGGAGTGGCTAGGGGCACGGGGATGAAGAGGAGAGAGACTTGGGATGTAGTGTCAGTAGGATTTGGGGGGTGAAGGAGGAGGACCCAGGGTAACTTCTCAACGGATGGCCTCAGCAACCAGGTGGCTGCTGATACCGTGCAACCAGGTCACAATCCTGCAGCCAAGAAAAGGGTGTATGTAGTGACTTTAGTAGGAAGAAAGGTGCAAAATAATCACTCTCGAGCAGAGCAAGATCTAGAGAAGGAGTATTTCCTAATCTGGGGACTCAACCAGGAGGGCGTAGGTGGCCTTAGATCTCCAGGCTGGGAAGGGGAGCCATAATGCAGGAGGAAGGTCCCACAGTCTCAGGTAGAGGCAGGCTCTAGAGCTGGGAGCCCGGCAGGGAGTACTTCCGGTCATCGGCTCAGAAGGTGGCAGACACCAGGACCCCAGCACAAGAAATTTCCGTCCTTGGAAAGGTCCTAGAAACTTTCCGACTTCCTCCTGTTTATGACTTCTTATTCTCCCTTGAATGTTTCTCTGGAGGATTAGAATTTGTGAAAGAAATTCAATCTAAATGGAATCGGAGGATATAAGATGGAAAGCCCCACAAGTGTGCCTCAGGAAGACAAGACTTAAGGTCTGAGAGGCTGATTTCCCGTAAATGCCTAATTCACAAAAAACAGATAATATTGGAATTTTCTTAAATGATAGGGAGTTAGTCCGGGGTTGCCTCATATCAGCCTTGGGAAATTTTGCTCATGGTTTCCAGAGACCCAAACAAGATATGACCCAGGTCAGGTTGGTCTCACAAAATAAGTGGAATTGAGCTTTGTTTGTGTGACCAGACCGGTTTTGTCTGCTGGGGGAATTTTCAAATCTGGTCTCCGTTTGTTTTGATTTTAGTAGACTCTAACTGAACTCTCCCTTCTTTACATTCCCAGCCCATAAATAAAGCCTCCCCCAAACCCTCAGCGGACACGCCAGCAGCCTTTCCAGCTTTCACGTCCCCAGCTGCAATTCCTCTGCTATTCCTGAACACACTCATCTTCTTGACAATTTTGAGCTGCCTCATTTTACCTTTTTATTTAAGTTGACAAACTAAAACCCTCCAAAGGCAAGGGACCTGGGAGCTGGCCTTACAGCAGTGTGTGGGTGAGAGAAGACGGAGTCCTCTCTGAAGCCCAGCTCGAGGAAGGAAGGGCCTCAGGGACAGAGCTGGTAATGGCTGCATCTGGAGAAGGAAGGATGCTTTCTGGGTCTCGTCCTCTGAGTCCTCAGAGAACCGACCAGAACTCGGTTCTGGCCCTGTGGACCCAGAATTAGAAGTGCTGGGCATTGGTTTCAGGGGTTTTCCCCTGTGGGGGAGGAGGGACCACTCTTTCTGGCTTTGACAACCCCACTGTCACTGTCTGCCAGAAGCTGTCATCAGCCCACCTGGGTAGTCTCATCTGGGCTCCACCCTCCTTCCTGCTCCCGAGTAGGGATATCCCGTAATAAAGCACTTGGCATATGTGCAGGGCACATCCCTGGCTGAGTTCCAGAGAACCAACAACAGCCTTAGCAAGGACCTGGAAAGTTGATGCCCACAGAGGGGGAAAAAAACCCAAAGAGACCCTGGGGATTGGCTGTAGCTGAGATTCCTCCATCAGTCTGTCAGAAGAAGCCAGCATCTCTACAGATAAGTCATCCAGAGTAAAATGATAGGCAGGAAGCTTCTGGAAGGTAACCATATCCTAGTCCCTGCCTTCAAACAGAATGACTCCTAAATTCAGTTCTGGGGCTGGAATTTGGATAGAATTTACCTCTAGGACTCTTTCGGCAGTATCTGATGTTAGAATTTCGACTTTAATGCTCCTTCCATCAGGCAGAAATATATCCAGAGACGCTTTCTTGGTAGTGATGCTAAATGTGTCCTATAAGCAAAAGGAAGCACAATAAGCTTTGGTGCCCTTCCGCGGGGCACATTGATGCAGGAGACAGTCATCTTCCTCTCTGTGGGCCCTTGGGGCATACAGTATCCAAAGCAAATGAAAGCCAAGTGCAGAGATTTGGGGGACTGGTTTTGGGGGTGGGGTGGGGGTGAGGAGAGGGTGGAGAGGAGCTCAGGCAAAGCAATGACATGAAGCTTGAATAATTTCCCAATAAACAAGGCATCTGCCTTAGGAAAAAAGCTTTTGAGAAAATCATCCACATGACTCTTGGTCATCCCAGATTTTAACTCTCATATTGAATATTGCCAGGCATCCTTAAAAGTTTGTAATATGTGCTAATTTATGGTTCTGCTGCAGCAGAACTCTGAAGCTGCAAACTTTGAGGCCTGTGTGGGGATCAGGTCTCTATCTGGTGAATGGGGCCCCAGTTAAGGGGCCAACACCCCAGCTCAGCACAGCCCTGCCTGCACTTTTGCATTCTGGTCTTCCCATGCAATACGTTCACTTCTCTCCTAGGCATTTAGAACGGCACTAGTGATGTGTCATCCTTGGGAGAAATGAGAAAAGAGCCATTCAAATCATTCTCTGTGTTCTGAGCCTGCTGTATAAGCCAGAATATTAGTGATTAGCAACACAGTGTGTGGGGATGGGGACCGGGGGTATGGGGGGAGAGGCAGTGTCTCTTTTTAGTGACCAGAAAATTTACATCCAGGTCACCTCCTTCCTGGTATCGGTTTGGGGGTGGGAAGATCCTGATGACTGATCAGAAGATTATTGGGGGATCACGGGGTTGGGGCTCAGGTCAGCTGACCAGGTGAGACCCCTTTCCCCTCAACAGGCAGCACTTCGCCCTCCTTAGTCCTCCTGACCACCCCCTGCCATTCACAGACACAGCGGATTAGGCACCAGGCTTTGTAGGGAACTGGGAAATCCAACAGCCCAATCGCACTGCTCAGGTACCTCAAAAGGTCCATCATGTTAGTGACAGGCTTATTTTTTCCTAATTTTGTTATCCAAGGGCAAGCTTTGACTTTAAATCTTAACCACGCCTGCCCTGAACCCACTTACTTACAATCACTAAATGTCTATGATTCTGAACCTAAGTACTTTAGAAGAGAAATGCTGCTGTTTCCCAAATTCAAAGGGTTCGTCCACAAAAGCAGCAGTTTGTGAATGTGTTATATCCACATATACAGGCAACTTGTAGACACAGCATCTCATTTATGAGTAAATATACTATCTATGTATTTATTACATACAAATATATTGTTAGATCACGATACTGATAATTGGGCTCTGTGCTACCTGCTTCACATATATTGAGAGTAGCGCGTGTAATTCTCATAACAACTCCATGAGGGATATACACTTATTAAGCCCCCTTTTTCAGCTGAAGCACAAGACTACAAAGGTTAAATTACTCCTCCAGGACATACTGCTAGTTGGTGGCCGAGGCAGGATTCAAGGCCAGCTCCTCGTGACTCTACAGCCTGGGCTCAACTAGGTTGGACTTATCCCCTGGCTGGTCCAGCATTGCCTTGGAGTGAATGTTTGTGTCCCTCCTCCCCCATTCAGGTTCGTGCCCTAACCTCCAATGTGATGGTATTCGCAGATGAGGCCTTTGGGAAGTGAGTAGGGTTAAGTGTCCCTCATGATGGGATTAGGTTCCTTGTAGGAAGAGACACCACAGAGCTTGCTCTCTCTGCAAACATGCACAAAGAAGAAATTTATTTCTCACAGTTTTAGGAATTTCTGTTCTTTAAGATTCCCAGTTATGGCAGCCTGAGCAGACTAATGTATCATAACAATCAGAGTGCCACCTCCACTCTCAAAAGTGTCCGAGTTTGGATAAGTTATATGGCTGCCATGTTACTACCATAGTACCAGCAATAAGGAACCATGTTATGCTGCCCCCTCCATGTACAATAAGTGTCTGTCTGCCTGAGTCAGTCTGCCACTTATTGATCACTGTGTTGGTCACTTTTCAAACAGTCCTTTGGCTTCTCCCTGTCAGTATTAGCCTCCAAATCAGCAGATGCTAAACCAACCACCTGCCAGGTTTTCCCTTCAAGCATCCAGTGCTGGGACAACCCACCTCCTGGGATCCTGTGAAAATCACTCCAAGCACTCCCAGAGCATGTCAGGGGCACTGGTTTCCCACCTCCATAGCACAGGCCCTGAGCTCTCCCTACACAACCTCAACCATACTTTCTTCACTTCTACCTTCCTGGGGGAATTCTGACAGATTTCCCCACTTCCCCTGCAGTTATGATAACTGCTAACAGTAGGGCTCCCAAGACCCCATATCTAGAAGAGTAGTCAAGGGTCAGGGGTTTCCCCAGAGCAACTGTTGCAAACAGTCCCTTTCTATGTATACCTTTGCCTAGGTCTTAGGTTCTTAAAGGTATCTGGCTTCACAAACACTTCTTACCTCCGAGGAAAAACACTCTTGAAACGAACGAAAAGATGTCATTGCCTTTGGATATGATTTAAGGAAAAGCTACCATTAATTTGTTACTTTAGTGCAACTCCCAACTCAAACTATATTGCAGACCAATAGATATCTAAATTATATAAACAGTTAAAGTCATAGAAACGCATATCCATATTAAATTCTTCTGCAAAAGAAAAGTGAGGAAGCAGATTGCATTGGTAGAGTGGGTCAGATTATAGATGGCCCTGAAATCAGACACTTGAGAATTTTATTTAAAAAGGCAAAAGGGGGGCTTCCCTCGTGGTGCAGTGGTTGAGAGTCCACCTGCCGATGCAGGGGACGTGGGTTCGTGCCCCGGTCCGGGAAGATCTCACGTGCCGCAGAGCGGCTGGGCCCGTGAGCCATGGCCACTGAGCCTCCGTGTCCGGAGCCTGTGCTCTGCAACGGGAGAGGCCACAACAGTGAGAGGCCCGCATACCGCAAAAAAAAAAAAAAAAAGAAAGCTGGATCCTCGTCCCCCCTAACAGGCAGTCAGTGGATAATGTCTTCAAATTGAAGAACAGGGGAAAGAGATGTATATCATTAACCTCTAGATATTTAAATATCTAAAGAAAAAGCTAAAAGATTTGAAAGCCATTGCCTCTGGAAAGCAGGAGATGGTTATAGTATAATCCTTTCTAGCACTATTTTACTTTTAAATCCTTTTTAGCACTATTTCACTTTTAAAACTATCAGCACATTTTGCTTTGATTAAAAAAATAAACATTTTTAGAACAATATGGTAAACAGGAGAAATAAACCATTGAAAAACCTTTGTATTATGAGATAAAAGCAAGTGAACAACAGATAAAACATTTGCAGTGGTGATCAAGGAGGAATTTGGCTCTATTTGTGATAGTTGAATTTTACTTGTACATATATAATTTATAAAATGTAAAAGCCATACAAAAACGCAATTAGAGGAAAAAAACCAAAGTGGTGGGTTCAGATTGTAGGAAAACAAAACTTAACTCATCTTGATCTAGGGCAGGTCAGGAATTAAAACACACAATTCACAGTAGTAAACGGAATGCATTTATCTTTAAGGCACCTCGAAATCCTCCAATACCATGGGCTGCCTTAACACATTTTGAAACATGTGCTAATTCTTTTCAAGTGGAATGTAACACCCTGAGAAATATGTTTAATTTATCAAAGAAGCTCCATCAGTGTGCTTTATTGATATTCTGCTCTGAGGCAGAAGAATGTCTGGTAGCCACGGTGCTTATCCTGAGCTTTATTAACCAAGAAAATCCATATTTGGACTCGCCAACCTCTAAATTTCTATCACACTTAATAATTGGCCCTAATCATTTCACTCCAAGGGACACGGAAAACATTCTTAAGAGGAAATGGGGAAACAGTCATTTCCCAGAGCTATGGTGGGCAACACTTCCCAGATACATAAATTGCCCCTAACTTCCCAAGTATACAAAAGCCATTCCAAATACCTTCTTAGTCTCCTTTTTCTCAAACATGTTGTCCACACTTTAGATTAAGAACCAGGAACATAAAAAGTCTTTAGTCTAAAGACTTTGGTTTTGCCTTTTCAAAAGTCCCTTCATCTCAGAGGCAATTGCAGGGCAAAAGCACAGAGCATGGTAAGTCGGGGGAGGGGGCGG